ATTATTATATTGGTAAAAACTCTAATTAAGATATGTATGTACATACTGCATGATTTAAAATTAATAAAAATTGTAATCATCATATGTACTTAGCGTAGGAATTATATTAAATTAAATGCTAAAAACTCTAATTAACATATGTAAATGCACATGCATGATTTAAACCTTTTAAAAATTCGAATAGTCATATATAAGTAGCATATGAAAGATAGTAAATTAAATTGTGAAAAACTCTAATATATGAATGATAGTTTTAAAAATATATTAAATTTAATACTTTTAAAAATTCTCCAGTCAATTATAATTAGCATATGAATGATAGTAAATTAAATGTTAAAAACTCTAATTAACATATGAAATTGCCACTTGCGTGATTTAAAACTTTTAAAAATCCTCTAGTCAATTATAATTAGCATATGAATGCTAGTAAATTTAATGTTAAAAACTCTAATTAACATACATATGAAATTGCCACCTGTGTGATTTAAAACTTTTAAAAATTGTAAGTATCACATATAACTAGCATATACATGATTTAAACTTGTTGAAACCTCTAATAATCGTGCGTAATTAACATATGCCATACATCAATTGATTTATATGGATAATCAATACATCCAAAATAGTTTACATCGTGTACACAATAATTACGGCACGTACTTTCTCCTCACTATTGTTCCCTCCTTGTGATCGCTGCGTGAGTAAGGGGTGTCTTCATTTGATAGGAGGATGCTAGGGTCAATCGTCACCGTGAAAGGGGGTTGCCCATCCAACTGATCGTAATCCTCGTCAGTCTTGTCCTCAACTCCGACGATTTTTCTTTTGCCTGGGAGAACTACTTGACGCTTAGGCTCATCAGGCCCTCTGCCCTTCTTTCCTTTGCTAGACATGTCCTTCACGAAAAAGACTTGCGTTACATCATTGGCAAGGACAAAAGGTTCGTCCGAGTATCCAACCTTGTTAAGGTCAACAGTTGTCATCCCACTGTCATCAATCATTACGCCTCCACCAGTCAACCTAACCCATTGGCACCGGAACAGAGGAACCTTGAGAGGACCATAGTCAAGTTCCCATATGTCCTCGATGGCACCGTAATACGTGGCAGTTGTTCCATCGTGTCCCATGGCATCGACACGAACAGCGCTGTTTTGGTTCGTGCTCTTCATGTCTTGGGCTCTCGTGTAGAATGTGTACCCATTGATCTCATATCCCTGGAATGTCGCGATCGACCCAGACGGTCCCCTCGCCAGGAAGGCAAGTTGTTGGTTGATCGACTCGTTACCCATGAGATGTTGTCGTAGCCACGCGGGGAAAGTATCAATGTGATGCCGTGTAATCTATGCATCGGACTTACTGATGTTCCTGGCGCGAACTAGAGCCAAGTGCTCCTCGATGTAAGGAGCTACCAATGAAGAGTGTTGCAGAACAGTGAAATGGGCTTTACGGAATAAATTGTTGTCTACCGTCGTTATTGCTTTCCTTCCGAGAGTTCCCTTTCCCCGTAGTCTCCCTTCATGGCGTGATTCAGGTACCCCGATTGGGCGAAGGTCTTCGATAAATTCTACGCAAAATTCGATGATCTCCTCTGTTCCATAACCCTTGGCGATGCTTGCCTGTGGACGAGCACGGTTACGAACATACTTCTTCAGAACGCCCATGTACCTCTCGAAAGGAAACATGTTGTGTAGGTACATAGGCCCGAGAATACGGATCTCTTTCACAAGGTGACAAAGCAGATGCGTCATTATATTGAAAAATGAAGGTGGAAATATCAACTCAAAACTAACGAGACATTGCACCACTTCATTCTGAAGGGCTTCTAATCTATCCGGATCGATGACCTTCTGCGAAATTGCGTTCATGAATACACATAGCTTTGTTATTGTTGCCCGGACATTGTCTGGAAGGATACCCCTTATTACAACTGGTAGCAGTTGTGTCATCAACACGTGACAGTCATGAGACTTTAGGTTTGTGAACTTCTTCTCCTTCGTGCTTATTATTCGCTTGATATTCGTGGAGTATCCAGACGGTACCTTTATGCTCTCCAAGCATTCAAACATACTTTCCTTCTCTGCCTTGCTAAGAGTGTAGCTGGCTGGACTCAAGTAATGGCTTCCTTTCTCCTTTGGTTCCGGGTGAAGGTCGCCGCGTTGTTCCATATGCTTCAGATCATTACGTGCTTCCAGTGTATCTTTCGACTTTCCGTATACACCTAGGAAGCCAAGAAGGTTTACGCAAAGGTTCTTAGTGAGGTGCATCACGTCGATTGCGTGGCGTACGTCCAAGAATTCCCAATATGGTAACTCCCAAAATATAGAGTTCTTTTTCCACATCGCCGCGTGACCATCTTCGCTCTCTATATGCTGGCTTCCAGGCCCCTTTCCGAACACTACTTTAAGATCTTTAACCATAGCAAACACTGTTTTCCCGCTGCGATGTTTAGGCTTCGTACGGTGGTCGGCCTTATGTTCGAAGTGCTTGCCTTTCTTCCGTACCGGGTGGTTTGCTGCAAGGAATCGACGATGACCCATGTATACAACCTTCCTACAGTGCTTAAGATACGTACTTTCTGTTTCATCCATACAGTGAGTGCAAGCCTTGTACCCCTTGTTGGACTGTCCGGATAGGTTGCTAAGTGCAGGCCAATCGTTGATGGTTACGAACAGCAGCGCTCGTAGGTTAAACTCCTCCTGTTTGTCCTCGTCCCACACGGGGACACCTTCCTTCTTCCACAACTATTTAAGATCTTCGACCAGTGGTCTTAGGTACACGTCGATGTCGTTACCAGGTTGCTTGGGGCCTTGAATAATAATCGGCATCATTATGTACTTCCTCTTCATGCATAGCCAGGGGGAGGTTGTAGATACACATCGTAACGGGCCAAGTGCTATGGCCGCTGCTCATCTCTCCAAAAGGATTCATGCCATCCGTACTCAAACCAAACCGTATGTTTCGTGCGTCCTTTCCAAATTCTTTAAATTTTCTGTCGATGTTTCGCCACTGCGAACCATCGGCGGGGTGTCTCAGCATCCCGTCCTGTTGACGCTCTTCAGCGTGCCATCGCAACATTCTAGCATTCCCCTTGTTCCTGAACAAACGCCTTAGCCGTGGTATTATAGGGAAATACCACATCACCTTAGCAGGAATTCTCTTCTTTGTTAGCTGCCCGTCAACTTCTCCTGGATCGTCCCGTCTAATCTTGTATCGTAGTGCTTTGCAAACAGGGCATGCTTCTAGGTTCTCATACTCCTCACCGTGATATAGGATACAATCGTTCGGACATGCGTGAATCTTATGAACTTCCAGTCCTAACGGGCAGACTATCTTCTTAGCCTCGTACGTTGTCTCGGGCAATTTGTTTCCCCCCGGAAGAATGTTCTTGACGAGTTTCAATAAATCGCCAAATGCCTTGTCACTAACACCATTTTTTGCCTTCCATTGCAACAACTCCAGAGTGGTATCCAACTTTTTGTGCCCCTGCTCGCAACCTGGGTACAACGAAGTTCTGTGGTCCTCCAACATCTTGTCCAATTTATGGGCCTCCTTTTCACTTTCGCAGTCTTCCCTGGCGTCCTGCAACATCTGACCAAGATCATCCGCAACGTCGTTACCATCAGCAGCTATTTCCTCCTCGCCCGTTTGATTTCCTTCAAATCCAACATACTGAGCAAAGTCCGGAATATTGTCGTCTTCCACTTCATCTTCTTCCATTTCAACACCTTGCTCTCCGTGGGATGTCCAACAATTATAGCTTGGCATGAACCCCGACTCAAACAAGTGGAAATGAATAGTCCTGGATGCAGAATACTCCTTCTGATTCTTACATTTATTGCATGGACAACAAATAAAACCCCTTTGCCTGTTAGCTTCGGCCACTCTCAAAAAATAGTGCATGCCGTCAATAAACTCTTTGGACCGCCGGTCAGCGTACATCCATTGCCGATCCATCTACATGAGTCAAAAAAACCGCACACAAATAATTATTCTTACAATAATGACAGTCATACAATAATTATAAGATATCTTTATTCATACAAAAATCATAAAATATTACACCAAATAATTCTTAAAAACTATTTGTAAAGTTTTAAACTAATTTTAATGTGTTTTACTTCTTTTAATTTTTATTTTAGTTTGTTTTCTATTATTTAATATTAACTTTCACTAGAGTTTTCCTTCTCAACTATTTTATAAAACCTTGTTTAGCAAATGAACTAAATTTCTATATATTCTTTCTTCCCCACACACATTTTCTCTCTCATCAACTTACAACTAAATTTTGGAGACAAAAAAAGTGTGCAAAACATAGGTGCAAATGTAGTATGACAAAAAAAAAACATTGGAGGATGAAGTTGCAAACCTTTTAGGCACCTCCGATTTGTATGTAATCACCAAAATAAATTCAATAGAAATTTTGGCATGACCTCCCCTCTTTTTTGAAGAAATTTTGAAGCTTGCTCGGGCAGCTGGAGGAGGAAGAAGACATATATATAGGGGTGGGACTTTAGTCCCGGTTGGTAGCACCAACCGGGGCTAAAGATCACCGGGATCATTAGTCCCGGTTGGTATTACCAACCGGGACTAAAGTTAAGATCTTTAGTCTCGGTTAGTAGCACCAACCGGGGCTAAAGATCACCGGGATCTTTAGTCCCGGTTGGTATTACCAACCGGGACTAAAGTTAAGATCTTTAGTCCCGGTTGGTGCTACCAACCGGGACTAAAGATCCCGGGGGGGCCTGACAGGTCCTGACAGCATTCGAACCGGGACTAAAGATGATCTTTAGTCCCGGTTGGTAACACAAACCGGGACTAAAGATCAAATATGCCCGTTACCATTTTGAACCGGGACTAAAGATCATCTTTAGCCCCGGTTTTTATTGCATCCGGGACTATTGTGGAAATCGGCCGACCGACGAAAGATGGTTTCTCCACCAGTGTTTGTCAGAATTTTATCTTTTTTGTTATTCTCTATGTAGAATGAATTTGAAGATGCGACTTTGCACGTAGATGTAATACTATTGAAAGTACATGTATGAATTTTCCTAGAATTTTTTGTGATAATTTTTAGTTGGTGTACACGGTATGTACACGCGAGGGCATGTGTACATAGGATACGCTCCCAAAGTAAACATGCTAATGATAGGATTAATTATTTCTAACACAGATGCCATATACAAACTAAATTTTACGACATAAATGCAAAATTGATGTATAAACCATCGACAAGCACCATCGATATCCCCTGCAAACCAGCCAAGCAGTCATCATGTGCATGGGAGGGTCCATTCCAATATGAACATGATTTCAACACGACATACTTGTGCTGAGGGTATTCTGACTGATTCTCATGTGTTGTGATACTTGGAGACAAGAGAGTTCAAGATTGGTTACCAAGTAGCCAGAGATGTTACTGAAATGCATAAAAAGAAATAAAGATTTATTTCGAAAGAAGAATTGTATGTGTATAACATATAGTTGAGATATAAAATCATATCTTTTGGCACACCCGTCGATTATAAATAACAGTACATGTAAGTGACAGCTGCTATAAATGTGTCAGAAATGTAATTATTTGAGGGCAAACCAGCATACATGATTTAAGTGGCAGCTCTTATGGCACGTTTTACTACCGGTAGTAACAAAGCAGTAGAATTTCAATGAAAGGGTCTTCTAAAAACTTCAAACTTTGATGCTATAAAGAAGATACAGATACGAATCACAACCTCCTAGCTTTATTCTGAACTCTGACGCACATAACTTCAGCCATATTAATTGCACTATAATCAATAAAGGTCCATACCAGACGAAAAATATGAAATAAGTGTGTCCTCCAAAAAAATAAGATTTGCTGCTCAATATATACAGTAACCTTGTATCATCCAACACTCACTGGCTCAGGCCACCTTACTATAATTTTCTGATCAAACAAAACCAGCAGCTTGTATGAGCTTGCCTGCTTTAGAATGATTTCGTTCATTGCTTTTGGGCTCCCCTGCAATAGCCCAGGATGTACAGAGATAGGCTTTAGAGGCATCAGCAATTATACAATTGGGTATAGCCCCAGACTCCCTCTCCTTTAAGTTATAATCATGCACTGTGCACGTACAAAATTAAAATGCCAGCCTATCTAGCATCTCTATTACTCAGGTCTCATGCATAACCTTCTCTTTTATTTCATGACAAAACTATAATGTGCTTATGTTTATGTTCAGCCCTGGATACTCAGAGAATCTGACCAGGGTATAGAGAGCAATGGCGTCAGGCGTCTATTGGACGGGATGAGGATTTGTACGCTCACTGCTCGGTTCAATTTGGAGGACCCAAATGCACTAACAAATACCAGTAACTCCTACCATTTAATATTAGTTATGTAACAATAATAATGACAATAGTTTGCCCTAGTTACAAAATACCTGAACAACTATTTTTCATCCTTGATGAGCTCAAAACGAATTCTTCTGCCCATAGAAAATAACCCCTTGCAGCTCCGCACAGGTGCATTTTTTTTCTGAATCAAAATGTTTTATTGTTGATTATTCAACATTGGTTTCTATTTCTCAAACGAGATTGGTTTCTAAGAAGATTGTTCGTCATTTGAAACGATACAACCTATACTTAGCAACTCCATTATCCGTCGCTTTGTATTTCAAGTTTTGAGATGTTCCCCCTACAGCTTGATAATTTCCTCTTTCACATTAAATTGTTAAAACGAATGATTCAGAACCCAAATATATTACAACTCATTATTTGCTAATTATAATTAGACTATAATTTCGATCTCGGTTGTTATTGATTCCGAATTTTGGAAAGCTAAAACTGAGACTCCAAAAAAAATAATACTTGATATTTATTAATCGTAAATTTTATTATTATTAAATCATACTAAAGCTATAGTTGCAGCACAAAATTATGTACAGCTAGGTACATATTAATTCCGAATTTTGGGATTGTAGTGGAAAAGCAAAAACTGGGACTCCAAAATGGATACTTAGTAGTTATGAATTATACACTACAAAATTATTAACTTATAAAAAAGTAATATAACTGAGACTCCAAACAGAGTACGGCCTTTGTTACATATGAGTTCAAAATTTTTGAGTTAGTTAAGGAAAATACTCATTTGAGTCTAGGACAAGAGGACACGCCAAATATTAGTTTTTTCCTTATAACTTTAAAACAAAGGGTGCAAATAAGTTTCAGAAAATGCAATAACAATGTATTCAGGTTATATGCTAAAATTATAATATCGATCACGATATAACCTGTGCAAGGAACGGGTTGGTGACTTGTTCCTACAATTTTACATATGTATAAGGCACGAATCGGGGCTGTTTGGTTGAAGCCCTGAGCCAAAAGAGCCTGGCCTGATGTGTCCCTGAGGGATATCCTGTGTTGTTTGGTTAGTGGCCTGATGGTTTCATTTTCTGCCTGACCTGAAAAACCTGATAGGTTCATTAGCCTGGCTCAGGCCACCAAAAACGAGCGCCTGGTTCAGGCTAGTTACACAAATTAAGCGCACTAATCAAGCTTGTTCTGTCATGGGCCCACGGCTATGCATGCGACAGGTGTCGGAATATTTTATTTCTTAATCTTGGTTGATGCAAACGAACTGAAAATACAACATTTGCTTATATGCGATAGATTAGGATATGAGATACCGCTTAATTCAAATAATATCTACCTTAACTATGTAATTATGAACCAGCTAACCTCAATTTAGTTTCCTCAGGCTCAGGTCACCAACCAAATAACATTTGCTCAGGCTAACCTCATCAGGCAAAGTTTCGATAGGATGGCCGATGCCTCTCAGGCATGTAGTTTTCTCAGGCACATCATTCAGGTAGCCAACCAAACTGACCGTGATGTCCAAATTCTGACCACTCTTATTTTAGAGACAACTTTGTAGATTTTTTGAAACATAACATGATGCATGTCCTCTGCAGTACAGCGTAGGAGCTCCACACATTGTATAACCTCACATTTTTCATTCAACAAGACATAATAAATTAAAAATTATAAATGGTCAATACTCTAATAGACTAGTCAATGGTGACAAGGAAATGGCCAAGGAAGAAGTATCCCACTTGCACACTGACAATGAACTAGAAGTACAGCTGGCAGGTCTTTCAGTGATTTTTTATGTACCTTTTTTGGTTCTATATTTTAGAGTAAACTAAAATTTCCTAACCAGGACCCATAGACCCGAAATTTTGAATATAGCAAGTAAAAAGGTCTCATATTTTTTTCAAAAAAATCAACCAACCTATTGGCCAACTACCAAAACCTTACAATGATAGCTCCAATAACTAACCAAAGGGGATGCAGCCATGTGAGAGCTGCAAATCCTCACCTTTCCAACTAACATGGGCCCTCCATACACCCTTCATATATGCTAGCATTAGGCCTATCGATACAAATTTTCATGTCCCTTACGTGGGAAACTAATAGGTAAGAGCAATGGCTAAGAGGTATTCTGGATTGAGAGAAATCAGGAATTCAGGTAATAGAATGCTGCAATACCATCAACTGGACTAGGTCAGAATTTGTATTTGGCTTTAACATGTTTCTGGACGAAACCTCAAATCATGTATACTTACTAGTGCTACGCCAAGGCTGAAAACATGTTTAACTACTTTCTGTGTTGAATGGACTTAAACAATCCATATTTGCGATGTGCAAGCACAATAGCAACTGCTTTAGATCTCAGTTGGTTTTGGACGAAATCATCGATCGTTGCACTAAACTGCCACTGGATTATAGGAAATTGTTCGAAAATCACAATGGCATAATATAGGCTGCTGTCCTATCATATCTTACTATAAAGTTATAACCCACTAACTCCTAAAGCTTAACATGCAAAAATGCCACATCATCATCCACTAACAAGTTGACACATCATCATCCACTAACAATTAATACATTTAATATCATGCAAACATGCTATATTATCTATAATTTAAAATTTATTATATTTTAGAGCTTTTAAAATGAAAGCATGTTAAGTCATCATCCCACATAATTCATATAATATTTAAATATATATCTTCATTATTTTTTATAATATCTTATGTACCTATGTAAGTTCATTCTCACTTGGTTAATGTTATTTCTCTCTTCTCTAATTAAGCCATATCACATTAATTAATTTTAGTGCTTATGTTAGTTTATGTTGTTAAGCTATCTTACACATTATTTTTACTTATTGTTATCATACTGAAGTCCTGCAGCAACGCGCGGGGTTTTACCTAGTTGTTATTATTAGTAACACAGGTAGCCTAGGATGGTCTTTGATTCTGTAACAAGAAACTGAGATTTATTATGAAAGAATAATTATCTGAGCAGCACATAATTTAGATATGAAAAACCATATGTCTGGACAACCTTCCGTTATGAACAGTAAATATGACACGCAAAGAGGGCACGCAAAACAAAGAAAGCTATTAACATGTGATTAATTGAGTTTTAATTATTATAAACTTGAAAAATAGATATATTTGATATTTTAAAACAACTTTCATATAGAAAGTTTTCGCACAAAACGAGTGGATATGACTATGGATCGGGCGCCCAATAACTGGCTAAAAATCAGGCCCTCCTCAACAAACGGACATGGCACTCCACTCCTTTGCATATAAATTGGTCAGACTACTCTCTCTCACGTGGACCCCCCCCCCCCTTACATGGCAGTGGAGTACAAGCATGCATGGGATTCTTCTATGGTTAGGTAGGTTGTTTATGTATTTTTAGCACATTTAAAACTTTTTTTCTCCTAAATTACTTCTCTAATTTATAATCTAATTTCACTGTTATATTCGTTATAATTAAATCTTTACAACAAGATCAGACATGGTTATATTCCAAAGTAGAAAATATTTAGCTCTTTCGTCAAAATATATTTTGTATATGTTGCACATGGTTATATTGCATTGTTTCGGGTAGTATTTTAGGATGTTTCACTAGTTGATTTTAAAATGTTGCACATTGTATTCTTCGAATGTCTCATCAAATATTTTATGATATTTCAGCAGTCACAAGTTAATGTTTCATTACATGATATAAAAATGTTTTTACAATATCAAGTATTTGTAAAACTATTATACGTTTCATATGATTTATATTGATGTTTCGTTACATGATATAAACCTTTTTAGTGGAGTGGTTATCAGGGGGCAATAACGATTTTTGAATGTTGTACTTCCCTGAAATTTGACCAAGTAATGAAACAATTTATTTTAAGTGTTGCAACTTTGTGTGAATTATTTTATCAAAATATAAGCAAGTAACATCTTATTATAAAGATTTAATTGTGACGAATACAATGGTGTAATCAAATCGTATCGTGGATAATTAGTTTAGAAAAAAATGTTTGACGAAGTGGGAGAGAACTTCCAATCGAATGCCCGATCCTATCTTTAAAAAAATTCGATGGTCAAACATTTCAGTTAACCACTGGTGAAACATTAAGTTATACATAGTGAAAAAAAATCAGTCAGTGAAACATTTAATGTAAAATCAAAGGTGTTTTTTGATTATTATTTTGTGATGAACAATTAGCATTGGAGATTATTGGTTTTGTTATTTGGAATTTATTCACGAAGTGGTTTTGGAGATGATTGGATTTCACAGGTGATCGCAGGATTCAATCATTTTATGTGACCGGTCAGACCGGGCGGTGATCGAGCGGTCGGACCGGCCAGCCCGCAGTCTGACCGGCTGACTCTGTGTCGGTTTCGGTTTCGGGTTGTTTATTTGGATATCCGTGATTATTTCATGATTATGACTTCTAGATGGATACTATACGTATATAATACTGTTGTTTGCTGCTAATGAGTCAAGTTGGAGATAGCTTGGTCTCGGAATATGGTTTCTTTGTTTGTTCCATGTGTAGGTGACTCGATGTCTTGGGAGAGTATTTGCAGTGATGGACCGGGAGTCGGCTTGGGGATAAGACGATGTCCGTGGTGGTCAGAGATCATGTGGGATACTTAGGCTAGAGTTGATGCACGTGGTTGATGGAGGTTCCATATGGCATACGATGGAGGTATTGTGTGCGTATGGGATACGGAGTTGAATTTGGAAGGAGTCCAAATTTGATACAATTGGTTATGTAAAGTTTCTTTCTTGTACTAGAGGGTTTCCTAAGGTGTTTAGGACTCTTAGTATGAGTTTGGTTCGTGTCTTTAGGTTGCCTACCTCGGGTATAAATAGAGGGGGGAGCGTGAGGCTTCCCATTATCGCTTTAGAGAGCAATTGAGTTGAGTTTTGAGTTAGGGTTTCGATTTTAGTCGAAATTTTTGTAAGGAGTGTTGTTGGTGCACTTTGTAAACACAGAGAGAATCAATAAAGTCGTCATCCACTTTAAGAGTTCTTCGATTTGTGTTTACTGGGTTTCGGCGATCTAACCGGTGATCTATCGGCAGTCAGACCGGCGGCAAGTGGCGGTCAGACCAGCGGCGGCGACAGGCGCGGCAGGCGATCTCGGCAGTCAGACTGGAGATTCAACACCGGTCAGACCGGCGGCATCCACTCGGTCAGACCGACTTCCGTCGATTTCGAGGGTAACTTTTATTTCAGC